CTGAATATCCTCGGAAGCTAAACTTCATACAGAATGAGTCAATGTTTCTGTCCTGTTTAAATATAAGATCTGGAGATAGTATATTATTTATGTCCATCATAAAAACTTAACAAACATTGCACAACACAATAAGCACAATAAATTGGTAACTTCTGGCACATTTCAAAAGAAGTTTCTTTTCTATGTACTCTTTTTGTCCACCCCTTACCATCTCTACCTCCTATAATCCAGTACAGGCTATAAACCTCAAACCTGCTATTTTTAGCAGTGAGATATCAGAGGACCTTGACTTCCTCTTAGAATGGTGGTATGCAGCTTCTGAGACTATAATAGCAGGGCTAATCATGGTAGAGTCGTCAGGATATTTGCTGATTGCCATCTTCTGTTATAAAGACTTTAAAAACACTTCTTTATCATAAGGTGGAAAAGAGCCCACATGTCTGCAAAATAGTCTTTATCAGGAAAAATAGGAACACAGCACAATTTCTTTCTGGCCTTGAAACATTTGCAAACTACTGATACGACACAGTCACATGATGTCTCAAATCTTTAGACATCTCCCCCAGGCAGAAAAGAGAGGCTCATTTTAGTTCCCCTGCTGGCTTTCCTGAGATTTGAGTGGTGGGACTGTGTTGAAACAATTGGCTAACTTTTTTAAAGAAACATGGTAATCCAAAACTCTAGGGTCCGGGTAGTCGATTCTGGTAGGACTGATCTGTCCTTACAATTTCTTTTCAGATTAGTTTGGGAGAGATAAGATTTCTCAAAAGTATATTTGCTTTCTATCAAAGAAGAAAAAAAAAAAAAAGGAAACACACATACACATGCAGGTGATCAGTGATTAAATTTTATAATAAAATACTCAATCCAAATTGCCTGTGCTTAAACTAACCTAAACTGCTTATGCAGCCATTTTGAGTGAACTTAATAGGAAACACAGCCAAATAGATCATCTTCCTGGTATTCAAGAAGAAGGAAAATAAAACAACTTGGATATAGGCTTGATCTATGTAACATGGTCACTATGTCACTATGTAAAATAGTGGTTAAGAGCGTGGATGCTAGAGTCAGATTGGAATCTAGGTTTGAACACTGATTCCATCACTGTCTAGCTGTGGGATCAAGTTACATAAACTCTCTGGGGCTCTATTTCTGTGTTTGTGTGATGGTACTTACCACTCGTGTGTGTTACAGGCATTAGAATTATATCAGGAAATATAAATCACTGAATACGGTGCTTGACACTTCATTATTGGTTACTACATGTAGATTATTATAAAGCTAATGAAATTTAGCTTCAGGAGCCCTCACTTGCACAGACCCTCTCCAAGTTCTCAGGAGGGGCCCTAGCAGTGTTCATGTGATGGTTAATTTTATGTCAACTTGACTGGGCAATTGATGCCCAGGTAGCTGGTAAAACACATTATTTGGGGTGTGTCTGTGAAAAAATAAAAAGGAAACACACACACACACACACACACACACACACACACACACACATGCAGGTGATCAGTGATTAAACTTTATAATAAAATACCCAATCCAGAAGAGAAGGGTATTTGGATCAGCAGACTAGTAAAGAAGACCATTATTTGGGGGTGTGTCTGTGAAAGCACTTCCAGAAGAGAAGGGCATTTGGATCAGTAGACTAGGAAAGAAGACCACTTCACCAGTGTGGGAGGGCACTATCCACTATGCTGAAGGCTGGAATAGAACAAAACGGCAGAGGAGAAGGGTGAATTTGCCCTTGCTGCTTGAGCTGGGACGTTCATCTTCTCCTGCCTTGGATATCAGTGCTCCTGATTTTCAGGCCTTTGGACTTGGACTAGAACACAACCACCTGTTTTCATGGGCCTCCAGCCTGCAGACAGCAGATTGCGGGATTTCTCGGCCTCCATAATTGCACAAACCAATCCCTCATTATAAATCTCCTTCTATATACTGTCGTGCGTTGCTTAATGATGAAGCTAAGTCTTTAGAAATGCATCATTAGGCAATTTTATCATTGTGTAAACAACATAGAGTATACTTACACAAATTTTGGTACTATTGCTTACTACACACCTAAGCTATATGATATAACCTATTATTGCTAGGCTACAAATCTGTGCAGCATGTTACTGTACCAAATGCTGTAGATAACTCTAACACAATGGTAAATATTTGTGTATTTAAACATATCTAAACAGATAAAATTACAGTAAAATACAATATTGTAATATCATGGAAACACTGTTGTATATATGGTGTGTTATTGATTGAAACATCATTTTGCTGTTCATTACTCTATCTATATATATCCTATTGGTTTTGTTTCTCTGAGGAGCCCTGACTGATATAGTTCACATGTGTATTTTTTTGAGTTTTGTGAAGTAAGTGATTTTAATTACAATCAGTTAAGGCTGCTATCTCTCTCTATGTCAAATTTCACTGTATCATTTTCACTTGAATTTAGAGGTGCTTGAGTGTCTACCAGCATTTTGGGATCTGACTAAGGGGAAGTTGAGTTAAGAATATATCATTTAACTAAAATTTAAAAACACATTTTGGATTGTTCCAATAGAACAACTGAGAAATTATAAAAACCTAATTTGGATATAAAAGAAAGGTGCTCTGTCTGGTTATCTATAAGTGCTTTTATTAAAGAACTAAGAAAATTTACATTAAAAGTTAATAAGATATGAAATAAAAGTGATAAAAATGCATGATGAAATTAATATTTGCTTCTTGTTCAGATACCAAGAAACAAACTATGTATAACACTTTTTTCCAGATCATTCCAAAACCAGTACATCCTTAGGGGGAAAAGAGAAATTTTTAGTAGAAGTAATGGATAAAATCTTGGATTGTTTGATATTCTAATAAGAGGAAGGAGTCATAAAATCATATAAAAATATAGAAATTTCTTGCTGATTTGATACAAAATACTGATGTTGACAAAGATGACATAAAACTCAAAATATGCTTCTTCAATAAGGAAACAGATGACAAACTAAATAATGAGTCTGTCAGTTTTCACTGGTATCCTGAAATTTTTATAGCTCATACACAGAAAAAGCTTGGTAAAGATTTTCCCAAGGCCTGGCGCGGTGACTCACGCCTGTAATCCCAGCACTTTGGGAGGCCGAGGCGGGTGGATCACGAGGTCAAGAGCTTGAGACCATCCTGGTCAACATGGTGAAACCCCGTCTCTACTAAAAATGCAAAAGTTAGCTGCGCATGGTGGCGCGTGCCTGTAATCCCAGCTACTCAGGCGGCTGAGGCAGGAGAATTGCCTGAACCCAGGAGGCGGAGGTTGCGGTGAGCCGAGATCGCGCCATTGCACTCCAGCCTGGGTAACAAGAGCGAAACTCCGTCTCAAAAAAAAAAAAAAAAAAGATTTTCCCAAATCCAATATCAACCATAAAATATACTATGGTATTAATTATGAATTAAAAAACTGAAATAAACATTTTAAAACAGCAACAATTTTTTAAAAACAAAATTTAATTAGCCATGTTAAAAAAAAACCTAAATTTTAAAAAAGTTCCCCTAGAAAATTATACTATATTATTATCATATGAAGAGGTGATCAGAGAGTGTACAGCCAAAATTATTGGCAAAAAGTTGTATAGCCGTATATGTCAGGCAGTTTGTTAATAAAAAATATTATGGCATTTTCCAGATTTTTGATGTTTGTGAATATAGAATACTTCTTATTTTCCAGAGATGGTCATCACAGCATCTCCTATCCCACATGTTCTTGTTACAAGGTGATTGACACATCTCTCATTGAGAGGTGGAATCTATGTTCCCTCTCTTTGAACCTGAGCAGATGTGACTGTGGCTGAAAGGATGCTGTAGTTGATAGAATAAAGGTCCCTCAAAAATGTCCACAACCAGTTGGGTGCAGTGGCTCATGCCTGTAATCCCAGCACTTTGGGAGGCTGAGGTGGGTAGATCACTTGAGGCCAGGAGTAAAACCCCATCTCTACTAAAAATACAAAGATTAGCCAGGCATGATGGTGCGAGCCTGTAATCCCAGCTACACAGGAGGCTGAGGCAGGAGAATCAGTTGAACCCAGGAGGCAGAGGTTGCAGTGAGCCCAGTTGGTGCACCTGCACTCCAGCCTGGGTGACAGAGTAAGACTGTCTCAAGAAAAAAAATTAAAAAGTCCACATCCCATTCCTCACCACCTGTGAATATGTTATGTAATATAGCAAGACGGAATTAAGGTTGCAAATCTGCTGACCGTTTGTCTTTTTCTTCTTCTTCTTTTTTTGAGACAGGGTCTTTCTCTGTCACCCAGGCTAGACTGCAGTGGCATGAACATGGCTCACTGCAAACTTGACCTGTGCTCAAGTGATCCTCCCACCTCAGCCTCCCAAGTAGCTGAGACTACAGGTGCATGCCACCATGCCTGGCTAATTTTTAAAATTTCTGTAGAGGTAGTGTCTTGCCATGTTGCCCAGGCTGGTCTAGAACTCCTGGACTCAGACGATCCTCCCACCTTGGTTTCCCAAAGTTCAGAGATTACAGGCGTGAGCCACCATGTCCAAACTTTTCTTTTTTAAAAAATATGGAACAGTTTGGCTGGGCGTGGTGGCTCACGCCTATAATCCCAGCACTTTGGGAGGCTGAGGCGGGTGGATTGCCTGAGCTCAGGAGTTTGAGATCCGCCTGGGCAACATGGTAAAACCCTGTCTCTACCAAAATACAAAAAATTAGCTGGGCATGGTGGCGTGCGCCTATAATCCCAGCTACTTGGGAGCCTGAGGCAGGAGAATTGCAAGAACCCGGTAGGCAGAGGTTGTAGTGAGCCAAGATTGAGCTACTGCACTCCAGCTTGGGTGACACAGTGAGCCTCCGTCGTTCAAAAAAAAAAAAAAAAAAAATGGGCCGGGTGTAGTGGTTCATGCCTGTAATCTAAGCACTTTGGAGGCCAAGGCGGGTGGATCACCTGAGGTCGGGAGTTCAAGACCAGCCCGACCAACATGGTGAAACCCCGTCTTAAAAAAAAAAAAAAAAGGAACACTTCACAGATTTGTCTGTCATCCTTGCATGGTGGCCATGCTAAACTTCTGTGTAACATTCCAATATTAATATATGTGGCTTGCGTGCGGTGGCTCACTCCTGGTAATCCCAACACTGTGGGAGGCTGAGGTGGGCAGATCACCTGAGGTCAGGAGTTCAAGACCAGTCTGGCCAACATGGCAAAAATTAGCTGGTTGTGGTGTGCATGGCTATAATCCCAGCTACTTGGGAGGCTGAGGCAGGAGAATCTCTTGAACGCTCAGAGTCAAATAAGCATTGTGTTCTCAGGTTGCAGAGGTAGTTTGCAGAAGGCTAACTTTCTTGCAGGCTAGTAGAACTGGGAGGGGCTAAACTGGCACGCTGGAAATACTGGTCCGCTTGCTGTAGTCTTTCAGACGGTCTCTACAGTGTGGATAATTTCCAAAATTCCAAAGCTGGGCATGTCAGTATCTGGGAGTTGACTGTGTTGTGAATATGGCCAACGCGTGCATAGGTAAACACTCTTCCAAAAACACAGGGCATGCTTTTAGCATTAACAACAAAAGCAACAAAATATCTATGTAGTAAATGGATTATAAAATGTTGATTTCAAATTTGAGACTATCTTGTTCGTGGGAAAATCAGAACGGAGAATATATGAGATGCCACACTGATTTATTCTGCTGATTGCTTGAAGAAAGAGATTAATCATCTGCTATATAAATCATCTCATTCTTCCAGGCTCTGATTTTAAAATGAGCTCTTGGTTGGAAAATCTGCATCACTTCAAGATGGCACCCTATGATATGCTATACCTTCCTTGTTCCTCTCCCTCGGAGAGGCATTCCTGTCTCCATTGCAGGTTCTGCGAAGCAGGGCTTATCTAAGCAGGAAATTTGTAGCTGCAAACCACATTTTTTTTTTTTTTTTTTGAGACAGGCTTTTGCTCGGTTGCCCAGGCTGGAGTGCAGTGACATGATCAAGGCTCACTATAGCCTAAACCTCCCAGGCTCAAGCAATCTTCTTGCCTCCGCCTCCCATGTAGCTGGGACTACAGGTGCATGCTACCACGCCCAGCTAATTTTTAAATTTTTTTTGTAAAGACAAAGTCTCGCTGTGTTGCCCAGGCTGGTCTTCAACTCCTGGGCTCAAGTGATCCTCCCACCTCAGTCTCCCAAAGTGCTGGGATGCCAGATGTGAACCACCATGCTCAGCTCAATGACAGAAAACAACCCAGGCAGGGAGCCAGCAATAGTGACTAGATAGGGAGGGGGAGTATGGCCTCATGTCAGCTTTACATATCCTTATCCTCAGTTTCTTTCCTTTTGGGGCTGCTTTCCACCAGACTTCTTGGATGAGGTTAGGATGATCCCTTCCTTTCCGTTCATGAAGTTACAACCTGGTGAAAAATTCCAACAGCCTGGAAATAAATAGCTAATTGCTTTCACAGATGTTTGTATTCTGTCATCACATATGAAGCAGACCCAACTACCTTTGGTTTTCTGTTTTCCTAGGTTAGAAAGCTGAGGCTCAGCCTGGCGAGGTGGCTCATGCCTGTAATCTCAACACTTTGGGAGTCTGAGGCAGGTGGATCACGAGGTTAGGAGTTCCAGACTCAGCCTGGCCAAGATGGTGAAACCCGTCTCTTAAAAAAAAAAGAAAAGAAAGAAAAAAAGCTGAGGCTGAAGACAATGGGAATTATTCAAGGTATTCAAGGCAGCATCTCTAATGAGTAGGAAAGCTGGGACACAAAGCCATTTTGATCCATGGCCGGTGCTTTTGCCCTACACCTCAGACATACCAGGGTATATTCTGGGACCTTGTTTTATTTGTGTATTTTTGTATCCGTGGTGCCGAGTAGCATGCCTGGCACTTAATGCCTAGTCTTTAAATTTCGATTGAATAAAAAGCTAGGATTTGTTGTCAAAAACCACATCTGTGAGGCTAAAGATGATGTTTGGAAAGTTGTAGCAATTTTGATGCCTCATGAAATCTAAGTCATTTAGGGAAGCACTGCAGCTGTCCCATGGGAGTGCCCTATATTCAAGGTAGAAGCTTAAGTGTGAGTAGGTTTGCAGGACACTTGTCAGGAGTCAGGGATTTACTGAATGTAGGCATTGTTTCTGTGTGGGCACTCCCTGCTTATTACCCATTCTGTGAGCACCTTCTAGTTTCAGTCTCACATGTCACTGAGGACAACGGGCTGCACATGAGGCCTTTATGGGGTTATTGGTGACAGTATCACCCAACCTCACTGCACCCCTATCATGTACTGTGGAAGATCAAGCATCTTAAATTGTCTAGAAGTTCTTGGGGTGGGTGCCAGGTTTCTGATTTCCTTATTTTGTACATGTGCATGCATGATACAGGAAATCTGCCCTCTAGAAAGCTCAGGAAAGGCTAATGGGTAAAGCCTGATTAGCCTAAGGGCAATAATGTCTTTTTTCATAAATAACACTTTCAGCTCCAGCAAGGCAAGCCAAGATGATAAGGACAAATAGAATGAGGAGTTTTTTTTTTTTAATTTTCAAAAAGATATATTAACAAACAAAAAATTCTGCAACATAAACAGAAAACCTGCATAATCCCTCAGCCCATTTCCCAAGAATATCATCATACTTAAAATGAGGTGTTTAAAAAAGAGGATGCTATATTAATAACTACTGGACCAATATTTTTAATGACTGCTTTCCTTTAATTTTAAAGAGACAAGTGGACTAAAGTGGATAAAGGACTCCGTCTTGGACAACCTGATCAGTCCTTTCTTCTGTGCTGAGCAGGGCCTGCCAAGAGCAGGAAATTCAACACCGTATACAAAGCTTTCTTGTCTCTCAGAGAAAGCCATCACTCTGTTCACATCATTCAAGAGGCTGTCTGCAAAAAGACATATAAAATACCAGTTATGAAATATAGAGTACACATTTAGTATAGCTTTGTGACATTTAGTGATCTAAGCAGCAAGATGATTATGTCAAATAAAAGTTATCACTTATTTATGATTAAAAGATCAAATAAGCATGGGATAAAATTATGTAGCCTAAGCAAAGGACAATTTCTAAATCTTTTCATTTTTGTTTTATATACTCTGTTATTTTTAAAGTCTTCTACCACATAAATTTGCATTTCCTCTTTCACATCACTTATTAAATAACATATGTTCTTTTTTTACCTTTGCCTTCTTACTTGAAAAAAATGTTGCCAGTCTCCTTCATGCTTTGCTCACAAACTCTCATTTCTCTGGTGGTGGACAGTTGGTCGAGCTGCTTTCTGTCTGTGGGCTCTCTCTACTCAGCCTTTTGACACTGTACAATGAGCTGTTATCGCTGTAATTTTAATCTTAGCTCTATTCTCCAAGTGAGTTTCATGTTCCTATTATGTTTATCAGCATAGATTTCCAGCAAGATGATTATGTCAAATAAAAGTTATCACTTAAATAACGTTTAAAATATCAAATCGGCATTGGATAAAATTATGTAGCCTGTAAATAATTTAAAAGTAATATGCTAATTTTATCTTATTTTCCAAAACCCTCACCAAGGTCACACCACTCTGAAATAACTGTTAGCTTTTTGGGCTCCCTTCCCCCAGTTGCTCTGTGCTCCAAACAGATGCCTGTGTTTAGTCCGAGCTCATATGCAAAAGAACCTATTTCTAAAATTCATTAGCTGCTTTGCAAAGAACTCTGCCAAAGCTATATTGTATGCCTTCCCATATTTCACAAGTAACAAAATAATTCACAGAAAACATACAGAAGAACAGAAAAGAGAAATTTGTTTCCAGAGGCTGATTATGTAGATTAGAACTCATGAATGCGGTATTTGCTAATTTAGGAGGGAGAAAGTAAACAAACTATAAATGTTCCAGGGGAGTCAACCACATCTCCCAGTGATACTCTGTGTGAAAGTTTCTCTGGCCTAAGGCACCTGGTTGGTTTGTTTTTTGTCCCGTCCCGGGAGAGGTGTCGCCTATAATAACAACCACGCTAATTATAATGAACAATAAATGATAATTTATGGGTTACTAAAGACCAAGCAGCTCTGGGAGTCTTCATTAAAACAACAGCACAACTACAACCTCTGGAGGTACGCTATAATTATTAGATGTTTATGTACCCTTATCAGCGTGCCAAGTTTTTATTAAAAAGTCCCTCCTGAATTGTTTTTAATTATGGAAACATTCCAAGCCACACAAGTAGAATAGTGTAATGAAGCCTCGTGTACCCATCACTCAGCCTCGATCCTCAACTTTTTGCCTAACTTGTTTCACCTCTCTCCTCCCTTTCTTCTCTTGGGTTGGAAATTTATAAAACAAATGCCCAAACGTGTAGCATTTATTGAATATTTTAGTAAACTCCCCGACAATGTTATAATAATGTGATGGGTTATTGCAAAATGGAACTGCAAGACAAAGAAGGAATTGAGAAAACTCTCCCATGGCTGAAGGGGCTGTCACAAAGGTTAGCTCTTTGGAGATACTCCGCGAGCATGGCATTCCCCCAAGACGGGCGGAGGCGGAGGTAACCGGGAGCGAAGGTACGGCTCCGTAGGGCAGGTAACGGAATGCCCTCCCCTCTGCCCACCCAGGCGTGCGCAATCCAGACCCCGGAGTTGCTAAGGCCCCAAGGCAGAGAGAGGCTCAGGATACGGAGAAAGCCAATCAGAGGGCTCCAAGACTATTGAGTTAGCCAATCCAGATTCGAGGGTGGATCAAGACCTCCGCTTTCCGTTCGCCCCTCCCGCATCCAATCAGAGAGCCGGCTACTTTGGGCGGACTTTTCAAAACAGCGAAAATAAAACAAATCGGGGACCTTTAAAAGGCGTAACGAGACCAGAAACAGTCTCCTTCCGCTCCTCAGTTATCCCCCCGTCTCCCAACCCGGATCAATCGCGGGACAAGGCCGACGCGCAGATTCCACCCTCCGCCCTGGCGCCGGGCGGGAGGACTGGCTCGGCAAAGCCTTGGAGAGCTAGGGAGGCCGCGAGAGAGGCTAGAGACGGCTTAGGGGCGGGACTCTTTTTCAAAGTCTGTGGCTGAAGTGCAGGATCCCTCCGCGGGGAGTCATGTGCCCCGCCCCCTTGGGGGCGTCGAAAAACTCATAACAAAAACAAGGTGCTCGCA